CCCTCATCTCAGCAACAAAACGGCTGAAAGTAAACGCTGTCGATTCTCACTCATATTCCTCCTTTTTGTTGCTAGCTATAAGCAGCTTTATAGCCAAAAACATATTGTAAGCTAAACTTTCAATTCATTTTCAGACCTACAAGTATTTATTGCATATGCATCAAAAATGTCGAATAAAAAGAAAAGAAAACAATTAAGAATGGAAATGAAATTGGATATTTAAAAGAGAGTGGAGAAACAAAAGTGTATTAATAAAATTGCAATGGAATTTGCCAAGTATTGTGAAATTGTGAATAATCCATCATTTCTTCCGTAAAAATCGACATTTTTATAACTCGACATCTCATCAGTCAACATTAGATCGAATTTGCGGGACATTGCCGTATATTTCTAAAAGAAAGGAAGGATTTATTTGGTATATTTAATTGTCGCATGGAGGACTTTCTAATTGAAACTGGCTCGTGTACACATTACACAAGCGGGAACCAATCATACAGTCGGCCGATTCGATCGAACTATTCTCTTTAGGTGAAGATGTTTCGTATCGATTAAAGGTTAATATTAATATGGTTTAGTGCTGTAGCCTTCCAAAGCAGATCTAAAAATTACCGTTCTTAATTCAGTCACAGATAATTCGGTCTTTAAAATTTATGAACTCATGTCGGTAGATAACTGTTCATAGCATTCTAATTTCAGAAACTTCTTGAACAATAAATATCAGAAAAGTTTATTTCTTTTGTGTGTGTAAGAATAAACGTAAAAAATAAATAAATCGCTAAAGAGAGAATTTAATCTACTCATAGTATTTTTTTAAATGGCCGCCCAACCGGTATAGTAGTTAGCCTCACTGATTGCCGCGACGAAGGGCCTTGGCTCAAATCCCGGAGAAGGCATAGATGTTTGTAAGGCATTGCGGCATGGGGGCACTCTAAATAAGCGGGAAGCCGAAAATCCTCTCGAGAGGTTGGTGGTAGGAGACCCTCGGAACCGTCCCCCCGTACTGCTCTCTATCAAAACTGGGAGAGAGGGGAATTGAGCTAAATCGTACTGGCACCTGTAAAAGTAATTTTTGAATGTATGCCGTAAAAGATTTAATAGACCAAAAAAATCATTTTTCAAATATATACATATTAAACGTCAGTCCCACATAAGTTGAATGTTCTTAAAACTACTAAGGATTACCTATGTAATAGAACTTTTGTAATGAATATCTGAAAGTGTGTGTGTGTGTGTATGTGAATATGGCAAAGCCTCGAGGGCTATTTGCCTAAGAGGAGGGATGCCTTCGTGGAGGACTTTCTAAGGGAAACTGGCTCGTATACACGTTACACATGGGGAAAACCACGAAAACGCCCCTGCAGCCAGCCCGTTCGCGGGATTCGAACCTCGGACCGAACTACCAGTGCTCAGCGACTTTACCGCTCGGCCGCTGGTGGGCCGCGAAAATATCTGAAAGAATGGCAAGTCAAATAATATTGAGTGTAAGGAAAGACAATGTTGATTAACGCAGAATTTATTGGCCGTGATCGTATAGTGCTTATGTGCATTGTATCAAGGTTCGTTAAAGTTAAATAAATCTATGCCGAACAGCTTTGTTTTTCTTATACTCAGCTTCTGTGCTAATTTGAAACAATAACTGAGATTCGAAAATCTCCGATAGCACATAGCAATTTAGACAAAATGAAAAAATTGTCAAGCAGGGTTTCCACATACAGGTTAAAGTTCGGTATACTCTAGCCTATATTCTAAATTATAATTGTTATAGAATTTACCAAATATTTACATGTTTTGGGCAAAACAGTATCTAACAATTTAAGTATCGCAATAACCTTGAAAGTGAGTATCAATAAGCACTTATTTTGTTTCTTTTACAGGGCTTGCATATCTTGCTTTTATTATAAAAACCATATACAGTACAGAAAGTATTTTTATTCATTTTTATATACTAAGGCTGGATGTGGATATTTCGAATGATATAAAAAGTCGATATTCGCAGAAAAAGGTTCAAGAATTGAAGATAGAAATAAGATATTTAGCCTATTCTGACGGGTCACATCTTTTTACACAATGCACAAAGGCAGAGCCAGAACACATATTCGAATTTAAGTAATTATTGTAGAATATCCATTAGCGTCTAACGAAACATCCCACAAAATTTTTTATAAATATTTCACTAGTTCTTTAGCGGGAAGTATGTCTTGAGCGGAAGACTTTGTTGACCTTTCGAAGTCCCTTCTTGCCCTTCTCTCAGATAAGATTTCCATCGTTCACGAACACATGTACTAAATTTCTTCAGTAGACCTCCTCCCCCCGGAATTGTTAGGACTTCAAAATCCTAAAATGTTTTCAGGCTTTTCTTGACAGTAAATGGGCAATTTATAGGGGGTGGGATTTTGGTACCTGAAAAAGGCCTGTAAATCCCTCTTTTTGTTAGTAGGCCATAAACCGAACCGTCCCCTCAGGGTGTTAGCAGGGCAGATAATCGCCAAGAATCGGAGAGTACTAATAGGCAATAAATTTACAACAGAAGAAGGAGATACCATGGTTTACAATTGCATCAGCGTGGTTTTGAAGACAAAGGCATGAACAAAAGGATGATTTACAATAAAATAAGTACTTTCTTTACTGACATAAAGATTCTAAAGATATGCCTGCAAGAAGTATTCCAAGTGCTCGAAGGTACGTTTTTGTTTCCTTAGTGGTTCACAAACGATGTGCTTTTATTTAACCGAACTAATTTGCATCTGAGTAGATTCTTTCTTTAGGAACTCTCATTTTCGTTACGTCCAAATTTTGGACTTGTTTCATGTTACCTAAAATGCACTATTTTAATAGCGGAAATGTAGTGTAAAAAACCAAGTATCCAACTAAAAAAAAGTCAGAGAGATGTACTGGCAAGAATTCTAAAGTAATGCATTGGACCATCATGATTACCATTGATAACATTCAGCAACGTTATAAAAAGTTATTGAGCTTCAATGAAGTATCATACTGTCATACTGCACTGTTCTTGAAAAAATAACTGAGGCTTTCTTCCCTCAGTTAGAGATGGGGAACTTATGCTGAGTGATATGTATCACACATTGTTCAAAGCCGTCGATGAAGATAAAAAATTGCATCGTATATGAACATTTGTATCTTGCAAAGGCTTCGCCATTCTCAACACATGCAGTGCAGTGTTTACTTCGGGTATATTCTTGGTGGACAGGATGTGTCAGACGGATGATTGATTTTATATGTGACACGGTACCAGAGTTACGCGAGGGATTTTTTCCGAATTTTGACATCCCATGCTCAAAAGCTTTGACATCACTGGCCTAAGCATTACTTCCCAGAGCAATTACAGAGCTTGAGAAGAAATGATACATGAAATATGTCTCTCATAGGAGGTCTTGGAAGGTAATGAAATGCAATCAGTGCCGCTCAGCCGATATAGTGGTTAGCGTCGATGACTGCTAGCGAAATGAATCTCAAGTCCAAAGGACAATCAAAAATATTTTTTATTTTTTTAATGCTCTAAAACTGAAGTAGATCCAGCTTTTACATATTACTGGCATGATAAAAAGTAAAAATGATTATTAAAGTTGATACTGGAAATATGATTTTTATTATTACTGTAATATGACCCCGCCAGGACGAATCTCCGAAGTTCTTCCCATCCCTCTTCTAGGCCGAAGGGCCCGGGTTCGAATCCCAGAGAAGACATGAATGCTTCTCTGTTTCCTCTCAAGAGGTTGATGGCAAAAGAAGAGGGATGGGAAGAACTTCGGAGATTCGTCCTGGCGGGGTCATATTACAGTAATAATAAAAATCATATTTCCAGTATCAACTTTAATAATCATTTTTACTTCTTATCATGCCAGTAATATGTAAAAAGCTGGATCTACTTCAGTTTTAGAGCATTAAAAAAATAAAAATATTTTTGATTGTCCTTTGGACTTGAGATTCATTTCGCTCATAAGCTGACAATGAACTTCATCAATATTTACAAAAACCAAAACCGAATTAATATTTGAAATTAAAATTACGTAAATATTTAAAATTTTCACTGCTTTGTGTTAATTACGACTTGCCACTGAAATACTATTTAATTCAAACTACTTACCTCGCTTTATTCATATAGCTGCTATAAATTATATATATTTTCAAAATTAATCACATTAACACAAACAATTTTAAAAAAAATCTTGGTTAAGGAGACAAAAGAAACGAAAAATATACAACAATAAATATACGTTAGAGTAATATGAAAATGTAGCGTTAGATGGGCAATGTAAATTATAATAAGGCATTCAAAGACAGATATTCTAATAAGGGAACATAATTACTTTTTATTATTTAAACAAATTAAACATTTTTTCTAGTTTGAAGGAGAAGAGCTTCATATTTTGTTGTAGCATAGAATGTATAATTTAATTAACATGAGAATTCTAATTTATTGCATTAAATACTAATAGAAACTGCTTGATATTTAAGATACAGTTTTAATAGAGAGTATTCTTACATCCAAAACTAAACAAATGATGGATGGTATCACAATTTATATGTTATTTACTATTTCATAGAAGATAAATTTAAGCAACATAAACAATTCATAAATTATGCATGACATAAACAATTCACAAATTAATCAACTGCCATTTCTGAAAATTCGATTGCGAGATAAAAAGCTGTCATGCAGTAAAATTCAAACATCCGGACCAACCGAGACCCAAATCCTATTTATTGCAATGAAAAAGTCAAATTTCTTACATATTTTTTATTTTTTGGTACTCTTTTGTTACCGGGACCATATTCAGAAATGTATGTACGTATGCATGTATGTATGGATGGATGTCTTCATGTATATATGTACGTATATATGCATATATATATATAATAATTTATTTCCTAAACAGTATTGATTAATTGATTATATTATCTCCTAAGTTTAATTAAAGTAGAATTATTTTAAAAGTGTGCATTCATACTGGTAAGTTATATTTTGAAAGATGTTTTGAAGTAATTTGAAAGCAAAATGTTAATAATGTTTTAACGGGGACTGGAGTTAAAGGACTGGAGTTATTCGCACTAAATGGATTTAAGTTCATACAACATATATATATATATATATGTATACACCCACATTATACGCATTCAAACGCCATACACACATTTCTGAATCCGGTCCCGATATCAGAAGAGTTTTTTTCGGTAACTGGTAATCTCTTGTTTTTGCTTAGCAAATTCTAAGATTGATTTTACTGAGCAAGGCATAAGATCCTCAATTTATCTTTCAAATTTAGTCACTCTGTTATGCTTAAGAATATTGGCATAAAATTATTATTATTATTATTATTTTATTTATTTATTTTTTGTTTACTACATTTATCTAAAACAGTGTAAGTTAAACACTTTTAAGCTACATACATTTTTATTTCTTTTTTCAGTATTTAAGCAGTTTTCTTGGCATTGCTATAAGCCCTTTCTGACACTACGTTTCACATGAAAAAGGGCTCTCTTTTTTCCTCTCACGTGAAAAATGGCTATATTGCTTGCAATTAATAAAATAAAATGTATAATTACTTTTTTCATTAATGCTCATAAACTATATATGTGATGAACACTGCAGGCCAATACATGTGTGGTACATATGTATCTAAATTAGCAAACAATTAACTCAGAATATACATATTCTACAAAAAAATAAGGGTTTCAAATGACTGGAGTTCAGATTTCTGGTGGCCCGACTGTTAAAATTTTACAATATTAATAATTGCGCTTATAAAATGCCAAATTCTAGATAAAAAATTGGCAATATAGTGTTTTGGGATATTGAAAAACATAATAAAAATAAAACAACTCGAACAAATAGTAACAAGAAAAGAAAAGCATGGGAAAGAGATCAAGTTGTAAAATTTGCACTATAAATCGATGTCTTTAAATAACTCCAAACTGAAGCGCAAGTTCTGCAGTTTAGAAAATATTTTCTTAAACGTCATATTAAATATACAAGCATTAGTGATCTAGGAATCGTTATTGCCAAGCAACTTATGTATATCACAAGGAAATTGATTTCCCCATGAAGTCCATTTTAGTTTCCATATTCAGAGAACCATGCTGAATGCTCTTTATGTTTATCAGTTTCACACTTTGATTCGCTGCTTCTGGAATGAGGAATCGTACGAACCACATTTAACAGCAATGTTCACTCAACTGCAGATGAATCAGCAACGACCAGAGTGGCAAAACCGCCTAACACTGGTAGTTCAAAATGGATTTTAATCCTGGCGAACGGGCCAGCTGCACAAGAGCTTTAACTTTTAATTAATTACTGTTTTATCCATTCTTTGCTATATTTATATATTTCTCTTCTCTGTTCTTGACGGCTTCCGACAATTTTAATTTAAGAAATTAAGCACTGGTCTTTCTTCAAGTAGTCCATTCCAATCCTATTTCAGACGTGCCAGGTCCTCAGGATTGCCACTTACTTAAGAACTATTACTTTGGCCTCAAATGAGACTTCAGCGGGCAAACAGCTCGTTCACATATGAATAGTTTCACCACTGAGTGGTGTTCAGGGTATGTCAGAAGACAGGAGTATGCAAAGTGTGGTGAGTTGTTGGTGGTAAAACTGTGGTTGGTACCGCTCCAACTGGAGAATGTTCATTGCTAGGTGGTGTGGGCATCGTCGGCTGGCAGACGTACCATTCGGTGAGGTTGGGAACCGCCGTGCCACTGTCGCTGTCGTAGCCGGAGCCAGAAGTGCTACCATTTGGTGTTGCAGGTGGTGGACTTTTGCCTCCTCCACCGTGGACTTTCATATGTTTCCTGAGAGAAGAAGGATGCGTGTAACTTTTATCGCAGCCTCGTATTTTGCAGTTATAGGGCTTGTCGCTCGTGTGTACATGAGAGTGTTTTTTCCGATCTGAACTGTTTGCAAACCTCCTGTCACAGCCTTCGAACTCACATTTGAATGGTTTTTCCCCTACAAAGAAAAAAAAAAAAAAAAAAAAAAAAAAAAAAAATGCATAATTAAGACAAGGATAATAAAATTTTGATGAAAATACTTTATAGTAACTTTAAAACATCAGTAATACATCAATTCGTAGTCATGGTACTCATAATAGAAATTTAAGAGAGGACATTTACTACGGCGTGACTATCCCAAACGGCAGAAGCATAATTTACTTGGTTAAAGCAACAAGACCTATGCCTCCAAATGTGTTTCAAGGGATTTGGTTATCTTAAGTTCTGAGCTTTCAAATTTGAGCCAAAATTCTTACATGGCAGATGAAAATTAATTAAGTACAGAGAAATTGCCTGATGTCTAATAAATACGTTATTATCCTTATCACGAAATAGATGCGACTAAATACAAAATTTAGACAATTAAATACCAAACATTGTTTATGAACTGTAATTCATTAAATGGAGAAAAAATTATTCCACCCTAGACCCTTAGCTACATTCTACTGAAGCGCAAAAAATATGCCAAAATGATAAAAGAATTTACTGAGGATGCAGTTTGTTAAAAAGACTATATTCCTCTTCATAAATTTACTACCCATTTATTGGGTGATTATTTAGTAAAATAGGTGCCTATTTCAGGTAAATTTTTTTCAGGAGATAATTTGAGACGTTAATGTTTTTACCACTTCGACCATGTTCTAAATAAGAAGCGGTAAAAGAACAACTGGAAGATAAGTCAGAGTAGTGATCGTTGAAACATTTGGACAAACGAGGAAGATGTATATTTGTTGTCATGTTTGAAAACTATTGATTGAGGGAAAAAAAAAAAAAGTTTCCTGGCTAGAGGGGAAAAAAAAATGTTTTCGCTGTTAATTCTTCTACCTGCTCTCAAGAATCTCTCAAACAGCAATACTGGAGTAAATGCAATTAAAAAAATATTTATAAAGTAACAAACTAATTACCGTGTTTACACGCTAATAGTCGCACCCCCGTTTTGAAGCAGAAAAAGTCGTCAATAGTGTATAATATTGTGTAGTAGATTACCCCGCTTAATAGTCGCACCTAAACTTTCACAATGAAAAATTAGCCCCCCCCCCCAAAAAAAAGTGTGACTATTACGCGAGTAAACACAGTAAAAGGTCAATCGCATCGTCTGCCTGAGGAGGGAGTTCTCGCCCTAGTTAAGATGACTGCTTCAGCAAATCTGAGCGTTCAGTGGCAATTACGATTCTAACAACTGTCATATTAAAACCATAGCGTGATTTCTGAGAAGCTCTACAGATGATTGATTCTATTACAGTCAACTGCAGGATATTTACATACACAATGTTCTTGAAAATTAATTTAAATTAGTATAAAAAATGCTTGCTCAGAAGAATTTCTGCATTGTACAGTTATACGAAAAATGAGATGGATTACAGTCTCCGCGAAAAGTTAATAGTGATTTCATTATATAAAATGCCGCGTTTGAGAAACAGAAGCTCCTAGGAATTCACGTTTCTCGGCTACTGAATCTATTTAGAATGAATTTTCGTAATAATAAAGTAATCAGTAACTGTCGCTTCGATATTTCTTAATGGTAAACCAACTCATTCATCGAAAATTGATTTTCTGTTAGAGTAATTTTCTAAACTGACAAATTATCAAATGCATTCCTAAATTCTTCGCTATAATTCGTAAACACAAATTTAGCTTTTAAAAATTACATGTTCAAAAAAAAAAAAAAAAAAAAATTGGCATCTAATTTACCATTTTTCACTCTATTTTTAAAAAGTTTTAAGATTCTTGATTAAATTTCACATTCGGATTCTTAAACAATAAAATGTTTTAATTGTTTTCGATAAGTACAATTAAAAAAACATCAGCATAAGATATTTTTGAATGTTTTGTACAGCTTATGGATTAAAAAAAATTAAATTACTACACACAGAACTTTAAACATTAATAAGGAAAACACGGAGTTCCTTTCACATTTTAATTACAGTTTGCAGAATTCCGTAACACTGAATAACTACTTGCTATAATCAAATAGCTTATCCTCTGGAATTTCACCCCGTTTAAGAACTGTTTTACACGATGAAATAACTTACACTAGAGGCGGTCATGAAGCTAATGATGTTTGACATTCCTGTTTTATGAATTCCTGCAGAGTAAATTTCGTAATAAACATTCTTGTAACAGCATATAAATGAAATTCCACGGTTGCAAAACATTTCGATGGTCTTCATTTCCAAGAAACGAAACGGAAATAGGTCTTTAATTGGAAAAGTACATTTTTCTACGCGGCTCTAACATGGCGTTTTATTCACTATCAGCTAGGCCAAGCTAACGAGGAAGTAATCAAAATGAACACTTTTCTGATGAAATGATACAAGGTAAAGCTAGTAATTAATCAAAATTCCTCATACAAAAAAAAAAAAAAAAAAAAAAAAAAAAAAAAAAAAAAAAAAAAAAAATTAAGGTGTTATCTTCTACATCACGGTTTATATGATCATTTCTGCATCACAATTCAAGATTTAAAATAAATAAAATTAATTAAAAAAAAGAAACACCTCTTTTGCCAAGAACTCCATCTTTATAATTTTTACGTTTAATAATCTCCTTCTTAAGTAATTTTACCGTAGCGTAGAAAACTCAGTTTCTTTATATAAAAAAAAATATACCTATATGAAAACAAGGTAATTATTAGTAATAAGTTGCCTATTACCCCCTTACACTGCAAAGTAATAAAATAATAATTTATTTACTAGTAGATTATTGAATATATTATCTCCTTTGAAAATAAAGTAGTGAAATTATAATTCTATTGAAATGAATTTATGCATTAGCATATTTAAAATTAAATTATTTAAATGGAATAATTAAAAGCGAAAATGCAATCAACAAACTAAGTAATTATCTCCATTGACCGGAAATTAGTTGACTTTTCAAGGGGAACAAACTAACTTCCGATCAATTAACAATAATCAATAGATGCGAAAGTGTTTAATCTTTTATTCAAGTAAGAAACAGGGCTAAAAAAACTGCTTATTAAGGCTGAGGTTAAATTATTCAAATTGCTAATTAAGAAGCAGCAAGAAATTTGTTGTTCTGTCTTGCTTGAAATACAATCTTTTAATCGGAATATATAATTAATTTAGTGTAAGCTAAATATTCTTATTATAAGAGTAAGTTTTATTTCCTTATTTGAAAAAATTGATGCCTGATACTTTCGCCATTCATCATATTAAAACAATGCAAACTTTGTTAAAACAATTAAATATAATATTTTTCTTAAAGGATTCCCCGTCCCGTAACTATGTATTAGAAATGTATTATTATTTAACTGTAGAATCTAGGCCTAATAATTAATAACAATATCTTCACAATTGCTCTTCTGTTCGCGGTAAAGCAAAAAAATACTGATCGCATGTTTTGAATGTGTTTTTTTTTAATATTTTTTATTATTATTACCCTATCCTAAATCAGAACCAATAGACTCTGATGAACCATCTGTCACTGACGCATTCAGTCATGACAAATTTTCCAAATACTAATATACCTATAAAAATTTACTTACTTCCAGCAGTTAAATAGTTAAGAAGTAAACAGTACAGAAACATCTTAAATTCAGGTAAAAAGCTTCTCTTATGGGGGAAACTTTCCTTTCCAAATAAATGCCTTCCTGTACAATGATGTAATTTTACAGTATATACAAATTTTAATTTTAAACAACGAATATTAAGAAATTTCTTTGCTTAAATTCGTGCACATATATATACATATATATGTGATGTATCAGCTTTAGTCCAAAATAAATAGATTGCTGAAGAAATATAAATGTAGTCGTAGCTTAAATAATCAGACGATAAGTTTAAAAAACAGGATCCATTTATTATATTCAGGAGAAATAGCAGTTACAAAAATCAGATATCCGGAGTAAATAAAAAGAATTACTAATAACTTTTTGTATGAAGTTTACTGCATCGTGACATTTAAGAAAAAGCCCCGATATTCCTTTTGCGAGTTATTTTATAGCCTCTGGAAAGGCGGAGCTTCCAAGAAATGACGTCAGCCAATCCAGTTCGCTTGAAATATTTCCAGAACATTCTAAAACTTTAATTCCACGTACTTTAAAATAAGAGAACGTCGCCATTAAAAATGAAAAGAACATACAGTTAGAATTTTAATTGTATTCTTGACTCTGGAATTTTTATTATTATATATATATATATATATATATTTGCAATTGCTATCGTATTTCATTAAGAATTACTCTTTCTTTCTGTTCATTAAAATTACTTCTACATTTCGAATAACAAATTAATCAATCTATTAAGAAACCAGGATGAAGCAATTAACAACTAAGCAGATTAATAATTTGCAAATGATACATAAAAATTAATTCGATTTGTTGCTTCCTGTACTTGTAGAATTACATTGAAATAATTTATGATAAAAAGTACATCAATGCCAAAATATTACGTACAACCCTTATCACAACATTTCCTTAATAAAACATCTCAAACGTATAGAAAATCTATAGAAGTAGAATAGAATTTTAGATTATCTGTTTAAATTCTCCCTCCCCCCACTTTACAGTAACTTAAATCTCAACCACAATTAAGAAGAGTAACATTTCCGTAGGTATGTAATCAGCTGTACACCTTACCGTCTACCACAAAAGCGGCCTGGGGTTATTGTCAGAGTTGTATTCAAAGACAGACACTAGGAGCCGAAAAAATTTATGAACCCTCTTGCTGGAAGTTTAAGCAAAGGAGTGGCGCCCGGAGATTCCTACCCTTTCCCATTCTTCAAGAATCCACACGCCACTCTTTTCAACAATCCCTCTTTTTATCACCGTGGCCACAAAACCTTTGTTTGAAAAGAAGCCTGGGACTAGCTGCAGGACGAATACTCGTATTAAAATAAATTGCTGCCCAATTTGGGATCTAAAGGGACCGTTTAAGGAGAAAGATACCCGCCCAGAAGGAGACGAATGTTGGACAATGGTAGCTCTGACACCTGCGTGTGGTG